AGCAGCACCTGCCCCTGTACCTGATGAGGATCCCGAAGAAGCTCGCGCACGCTACATGCGCACTTCCGGCTTTCGCGCTGACGATGCGCTTTGGCATCAGCGTCTCGGACATCCTTCTCGCACGACATTGAAGAACTGCATCGACGCAGGAGTCTTCGCTCCTGGGGCACTGTTACGCCCAGACGGCACCGAAGTGAGAGGCACGACACATCCGCGCAACTGCACCGTCTGCCTCGAAGCTGCGCTAAGCCATCAGCCGTTCCCGCTGCTCGAACTCGGGACGAACCGCTACCCCAAGCTGTACAAGGTGTACAGCGATTTCCTGAACGTGGGGCACTGCGGAGTCGACGACGAAATGTACACGCTTACCTTCATCGCTATGTGTGGATCGTGAACGTCGAAACACGCGACAGAGCCTATGAGGTGTTCCGCCTCTGGCTTGCGCACGCGCAGCGGCAATCCAAGGAGAAGCTGAAAATCTGGCAATCTGACGGCGCAAAGGAGTTCAGGAGCAATCAGATGCAGAGTTACCTCGCGCAAAAGGGGATCGAGCACCATATTTCTCTCCCCTACGCACACCAGCAGCAGGGCGTAGCTGAGCGGACGAACCGCACGCTGATGACGAAGGTGTGAGCATTGATGAAGCAGTCAAAACTCCCGCCGATCTACTGGACTTACACGATGCACCAAGCCGCGCGGGTGCACAACTTATTGTTAACTACCGCCATCACCGGCAACCTGTCCCCACATGTGAAGTGGACCAGGACCAAGGGGGACACGTCCATGCTCCGCGTGTGGGGGTGCATGGTCCAATACCGCCCGCCAACGTCAACCATCGGCAAATTCGCCAGCCGCGCTCGTTGGGGCATCCACCTCGGCATTAGCCACGAGCACAAGGCGTGGATCGTGTTGGACCTACTCAGTCAGAAGACCACCCACGCTCGCGACATGATCTTTTACGAACGCCTCTTCCTCGACCAGTTCCGCCACGACGAGCAGACGAATGCAAACCGTGTTTATGCAAACGAGGGGCACAGCTATGCAACGCCCGAGGATGAAGCTGCGGCAGTAATCCTGGAGCAAGACACCAGGGGCGAGTTCACACAGGGAGATCGCAACAGCGACGACGACGACGACGACTCCTTCGGATGAGGAATGGGCGCAACAGGCGGAAGCGGCAGTGGCGCAGCACCACCCGCACCACCTGAACCAGAGAGCGACGACGACGATGTGCGAGAAGTCATCCCGCAACGACGACACGACAGCACCGTTTCAGGATTACAGCTGCTCGGGCTTCACACCGCAACCTCGAAGGCGCCATGTGTCATCGAGCCGCGAAACCCGCGCCAAGCTCTCACTGGACCACACAGCAAAGAATGGCGTGAGGTGATGGACGCGGAAATCAAGGCGCTCGAATCCCGAGACACCTGGGTTCTAGTCGACCGTGCGGCAATCAAAGGAGCAAGAGTTCTTTCGGGGAAATGGGTCTTCCGCGTGAAGACCACAGCGGACGGAACAATCGAGCGCTTCAAGGCTCGATGGGTGGTACGCGGATACGACCAGACGTTCGCCCCAGTCAGCCGCCACACCTCCGTCCGAATCCTGCTTGCCATCGCAGACGCAAGGCACCTGCCTCTCCGCCAGATCGACGTGAAAAACGCGTTCCTGTACGCGTTAGTAGACGCCGTGATTTACGTGGAGCAACCGCACACATACGGCGAAGGGGATTCGCGCGTATGCCAGCTGCGCAAATCCCTGTACGGGATAAAGCAGGCACCAAGGCTTTGGCAGCAGTATCTGCACAACATCCTGCTTGAAATTGGGTTCAAGCAGATGCCGCACGACCCTGGAATGTACCGCCGCGATTTCCGCGGCGAATACATTCTCCGCACGGTCTACGTCGACGACCTGCTTTACACGGGATCGAGCAACGAGTTACTCGAGCAGTTCGAGAAAAGCCTGGCGGGGCGCGTCGACATCACGTGCAACTACGAGGTGAAGCAGTTCTTAGGCCTCAACATCTCCTACGCACCTGAGACCATTCACCGTTCAGCGGCTATGTACGCAGAGGATTTAGGGAAGCGATTCAACATTTCACCTGCACCGCTCTCCACTCCCTACCGAACTCCTGGACCGAACCACAAACCTGACAACAAAGCCCAATCCCCTGCTGGAGTTCAGACTTACCAGCAGCAGCTAGGATGCCTGCTCTTTGCCTCTGTCACATGCAGGCCTGGCCTTTCCTACATTGCAAGTCAGCTGGCCCAGTACTCACGCAAACCAACGGCTGAGAATCTTCTGGACCTGCAGCGCGCCCTACAGTTCTTTGTTTCAACGCCCAAGATCGGGCTATGCTACTCAACTGCACTAACCCCATCCTTCAATCTCATCGGTTACGTGGACGCCGATCACGCAGCAGATCCCGACAATCGACGGTCGAGGACTGGCTTCCTGTTCCGACTCGAACCAACGGGACCAATCTCCTGGAATTCGCAGAAGCAGGAGCTGGTTGCCCTGTCGTCAGCTGAAGCGGAATTCATCGCAGCAACTGCAGCAGTTCGCGAAGGCCTCTACTTGCAGGAACTCCTGCAGGAGGCGAAAATTCCAGCTTCGTCCACCTTTCGTCTCCACTGCGACAACCAGAGCGCGATTCACATCGCAAACAAACCTGGTTTCGTCAACAGCACCAAGCACATTGCGCTGCGGTATTTCTTCGTGAAGGACGAAGTGGACAAAGGGATGGTTAACTTGACCTACTACCCGACTGGTGACATGGCAGCAGACTTCCTCACGAAGCGACTGCCACGCCAGCAGTATCAGCATTGCTCCGAACTCAGCGGAGTGGTCAAGCAGGTCAAGTCGAGCTGCGGCCAGCAGTGAAGGGGGGTGTTACGTGTGAGAATAGTGGGCATAACGAGGAGCCATAGCTAGGTAAGCCCTAGCTAGGCAAGTGAAAGTTTAGGCAAAAAGGGAGAGGTTCACTAGCAGCAGTTGGGATACATATAACAAACCCTAACTCGGTTGTACCCGCTATAGAGCACCCCACTACAGGCTAGATAATAACATTCTGACACACCCCCATAGCCAAAGTGGGGTGTAATTAGCACAATGACCAAGCAGGCATAGAGCAGGAGTTCACAATAGTAAGCAAAGCTAGAGTTAATCACAACGGGCAAGTGAGGAGGAGGAGGAACTGTGGAGGGAGAGAAGATGGGAGGCAACGACTGAAGCTGCAGAGGCACGGGCACAGGAGCGGCTGACTCAGTGGCTACCGAAGCAAGGGCGACGGACTACTGGAGTGACTGGCTCCGCGGCTATAGACGAGCGGCAGGAGCAACGGACCCACTGGCGACTGGTGCAACAGGCTCACTGGCTACCGAAGCAAGGGCGACGGACTACAGGCGCTGCAGGCGACACGACAGCTACCTTCACACAACCTCCTCCAACTGCCCCACACCCTCGACACACACCCCCTGCTCAAACCCTAGCTCCACTCCCACGGCACCCTCCTTAAACCCTAAACCCTAGGCTCCCACACACCACCCCCCTCAGCGGCAGCTGCAGCAGTGGGAGACCAGGGAGGAGGAGGAGCAAGGGGAGTAACTCACAACCGACACCCCCACAACCGCCACCCCCACACTCCTCACCCCCACAACCCTAAAACGGGTGGGACGGGGCAGGAGCGCGGGGAACGGCGAGGGGGACGGCGCGCGACCCCAGGGCGCCAAAACGGACGGGCGGGAGGGGGGGGGGGGGAGGGGCGCGCGGCTCCCCAGGGCGCCGCGACGGACGGGCAGGGGGCGCGCGCGGCTCCCCAGGGCGCCGCGACGAGCAGGGCGGGGGCCGCGCGTGCTCCCCAGGGCGCCGCGACAAGAAGGACGGGGGCCGTGCGTGCTCCCCAGGGCGCCGCGACGAGCAGGGCGGGGGCCGCGCGTGCTCCCCAGGGCGCCGCGACGAACAGGGCGGGGGCCGCACGCGCTCCCCAGGGCGCCGCGACGAGCAGGGCGGGGGCCGCGCGCGGGTCCCCAAGGCAGGAAACCGCCGCCGCAGGAAACGTCAGACGGTTGGGATGCATCTGGACCGTCGGAAGCAGACGGCATCGGCAGCTGCAGGCAGGAGGGTTCTGGCGGGAACAGTTTCGTAACTGTACGCGCCGCACGGTTGGGAACGAATTTGAATAAGGGAATGTACCCCTTAGAGTACATGGCTAGCTAGGTCGATTCATCTTCCCTGTACATGGCTATATTTATATCCTTGTATTTGCATGTTTTCATCATCTCAAGCATTTACATTCACTCTGCTATTGAGGTCAAGGGCCCACCACCACTAAATCAGTAGTGTGCGAACCTTCCTGAGGTGATCCTGAGAACGATCAACTTCTGATCGCAACAGAATGTAATAAATCTAATGTAATAATTGAAACAATGTACGGTAGGTTTGGCGTATCTAGTACAATTACATTAATTACGTACAATGATTTTTCAATGATGGTGGTTATAGGGAGCCATTTCAAGACAGGTGTGGACCAATTTCGGATGTAGCATGTACTGTTTTCAATGTGATGCCATTAATGCTTCTGACATTATTGACGTTGTAAAGGGAATGTTTCAGCTGTGAAATGAGATAACTAGACAACAATCCATGTTATCAACACTTCAAATTGGTAGAGGAGACACTTACACATGACACATTCCGCGAACACAGATTTCGCTCTACTTTATGCGACCTGATTTCTGCTGACATGAGATATTTGACGGCGGGAACAAGCACAGGTTTTCCATGAGATATCCTAGCTCCCGCATCTATTGCCTTGCCTTGCGTTGTCTCTTGTTTCCTCGTGGCTTTCCTGGCTTTTCATCGTCGCTGTCTTTCCGTGCTCGCTGTCGAATCTTCCTGCAGCCTTCATCATTTCTATCCGCGGCACGGCTTCTTCTCGAGCCTTGTTGCGCCCACTGCAGTGCACGTGCGGGTGAGACACGCCTGCCATCTGCCAAACAGACATGGAGAGTTCGCGGAGAGGCTTAGCGGAGCTGCTGGCGCCGTCCCCGATACAATCCGCTCCGCTTTTGGAGATTATCACTTTGGAGGATTTCGAGTGTGGAGTAAGGGAGTGGTGCGGGCGAGATGCGGTGCCAGCGCAACACGCGGCGGGATTTCAGGAGGATTTTCAGGCGGATTTTCAGGCCGCCGTGAATTTTATTTTGCGGGGAGACGCTGATGGGGGGACTGACGGGAAGGGAGCGCGTTCGGCGGCGGAAGAAGCGGAAGGGCGGTTGGAGGAGGAAGGCGGGGGACTTGTGACAAGACAGGGAAGAGACTTGTTGGATGAGAGCGGGGATGTGGTGATGTCGGATCGAAACACTGAAGAGACTTATACCGCGGATAAGCTTCCCATGCCGTCCACCAGTGGGAGATGGACACGTGGAGGATATCTCGACCTTGATCGTATCAGCGATTTCCTGGATTTGCAGATGGCAAAGATCAGCGAATCTAGAGCTCCTAGACGACAAGATTTGGGCGGCACAAGTAACAGGAGTAGCATCGGCAGTACCATAACCAATCCCGCCGCGGAAGGCCTAATAGGCAGATTAGGACCGCCTATAGTCTACATGCTACGTAGCTCGTTCTCTGGGGAGATTAAGGTGGAAGGGGGCGGGCCATGGGGGCCGGCGGAAAGGGCGGGGGGAGGGGCGGAAGGGGAGGCGGAGGGTGGGGGTGTGGGGAGCAGCCGCGGGCGGGGGATTGCAGATGCTGCTGCGGCGCTGCGGAGCATATGGGCGGAGGAGGACATGGAGGGGGTTGAAATCGAGGGGATCGAGTGGGCAGGCGCAGGGGGGGGCGCAGGGGGGGAAGCGGGCGGAGGGGGAAGTGGAGGCGGGGGGGTAGGATGGGAAGGGTTGTTGCTAGAGTCCCTGGGCAGAGCGGGAGCAGCAGCAGCAGGAGGAGGAGCAGGAAGGGGAGCAGCAGGGGGCCGGTCAAGAGGCAGAGGCAGGGCACGAGAGGACCTAGGAGGCGGCCTGATTCTCGAATCCCTAAGCAGTTTCAGCAGCGCGCGCGCCAATGTGTGCGTCTACTCGGGCAGGTGGCAGTACGAGGCGACTCTAGGCTCCTCCGGCATTCAGCAGATTGGCTGGGCGACATTGGCGTGCCCGTTCACGGCAGAGGAGGGCGTGGGGGACGCGCCCGACTCGTATGCTTTTGATGGGAAGAGGGTGCGGAAGTGGAGTGGGTGGTCCGCGCAGTATGGGCAGCCGTGGGCGGCGCATGATGTGATTGGCTGCTGTATTGACCTGGAGGGGGATGGCGGTGTGGCGGGAGGAGAGGGTGCAGGTTCGGATGCTGCTGCTGCTGCTGCTGCTGCTGCTGCTGCTGCTGCTGGTGGTAGTACTGCTGCTGATGCTACTGCTGCTGCTGGTTCTGCTGGTAGTGTTGGTGCTGGTGGTGGCAGAAGGAGTGGCGGTGGTGCTGGTGCCGCTGGTGCTGGTGCTGCTGGTAGGGCATCCAGTGGTGGCACGGCAGTGGGGAGAGTGACATTCTACCGCAACGGGGAGTGTCTGGGAGTGGCCTTCACAGGAGTGAAGGCGCTACAGAGGGGCCTGGCCTACTTCCCAGCCATCTCCATCTCCCACGGGGAGCGCTGCGAGCTTAACTTCGGTGCCCGCCCGTTTCGATACCCGGTTACCGGGTTCCTCCCGCTGCAGTCGCCACCTCGCCTGTGCTGGCCCATGCCCTCTGCTGCTACAGATGCAGTGGATGCTGCTGCTGGTGCTGCTGCCACGGCTGCTGCCACGGCTGCTGCCACAGCTGCTGCCACAGCTGCTGCCACAGCTGCTGCCACGGGTGCTGCTACTGCTGCCCCCGCTGCTACAGATGTTGCTGGTGCGGCTTCTGCCCCTACCGACAGTGCTGCTGCTGCTGCTCCCGTGCATTCGCCTCCACCTCCCATCGACCCTGCCTCACTCCCCACCCACGTCGGTCACTTCCTCCTGCCTACCCTGCAACCCACCTCGCCCCACCCGCACTCCCATCTACGCACAGCAGACAGCGCAGCAGGTGCCCCTCGCGTTGCAGACTTGGATGCAGCTGCGTGCTCCTCCTACCTCCTCCACTGCCTTTCTCGCCTGCTGCACCTCACCTCCCTTCCCTCCTCCCTCCCCTCCTCGTTCTCCTCCCCTGTTCCACATACCTCCTCCTCCTCGCTCACCCACAGCCCCCCATCGAGCCTGCCATTCCGAACCTGTCCGCTAGGCCCGGATGACGAGGTTCTCCTGGCGGAGCTCCTGTGTGAGAGGCTCGGGCCGTTGCTGCTGGCAGGGGGGGCACGAATGGAGGTGCAGAGACAGATGGGGAGGAGGGCGGGGGAGGGCAAAGGAGGGGGGGGAGTGGCAGAGGGTGTGGGGTGGGTGCGAGGGGGGTATGCTGTATGGGCCTCCCTGCTGCCTCTACTCCTCCAACTGGCGCCCAGACAGGGGCTAAACACAGGTGGGGGGAAGCAGGGTGCAAGCAGAAACAGTCTACAGCAGCAGCAGCAGCAGCAGCAGCAGCAGCAGCAAAAGCAGCAAGGGTGGAGGATGGTGGACCGAGTAATGGACTCGCTTCACCTGTGTCTGGAGGACCATGAGTGGTCCGGGATCATCCCGGCCCTCATGGACGCCCTAGCCTTCCACTCCCGAACCTCCCTCGTAGGTTCGGCTGCGTTCACAGTGCCGAACCTAGCCGGTGCAGGAGCAGAAGCAGTTTCCGGCTCGGGAAAACCCCCAGAGGTTTGGCAAGAGGGGCGGGATCCGTACCTGTACCTATCCCTGGCCTGCCACTTAGCTAAGCGACAGGAGGTGCTAAGCGCATGGTGGGCAGCAGACGGATTCTCCTCCAATCTAGAGGCATTCTTGACCCGCAGAGTAGCCACGAGGGTGGATCTGCAGAGGCTGTTTCCCTCGCTGTGGTGGGCTGGCTGTAAGGAGGACGACTGCAGCGAAGCAGGCTTGGAAGAAAGCAAGAAGGCACTTGTGAAGGCAACGTCTAGGGTGGAGCTCTGCCAAGTGTCGCTCTGCCGCTCTCTCCTCTTCTTTGTACCCTCTAAGAGCATGACCGGGGCTTCGTCGACTTATTCGCTTGCGACTGGCGGCGTGCTTGCACCGTTTCTGAGGAGCCTGATCCGCAAGAACCGGGCGGCGAACAGGAATATTGTGCCGCCCGGGCTCTCGGATAGTAGCGTGCTGGTGACGGCGTTTTTTGTCCTCTTGCGGCTGTTGTGGGCGGGGCTGGTAGGCCGTGGAGGCGGGAAACTGCAGAAGACAAAGAGAGCTGGGGTTTTAAGAGGGTCACATGTCTTAGTAGAATCAGGGAGTGGAAGAGAGGGAGAAGCAGAGGGAATGGAGGTTGATTTTGAAAGAGGAACGTCAGGGAGGGAGGGTAGGCGGGTGGGGAAGGTAGAGAGGGAGGGATGGGAAGTGGAGGAAGAGGAGGAGGAAGAGGAGGAGGAGGAGGAGGGGGAAGAGGAAGAGGAGGAAGAGAGCGAGGAAGTATCAATGCTTCCGTGGCCAAGAACCCCCTCTGGGGCCATTCGGAGCAGCTGGAGGGAGCGACAAGAGGCAAGCAGTGCCTTGGATAGCAGCAGCAGCAGCATAGCAGCTACTACAGCCACTGCCACTGCGGGCACCAGCACAGGTGCCACCGGCACTGCTGCCATCCCTGCAGGGGGTTACCTGCAGCGCCACGGGCGGTGGAAGTTTCCTGTGCCCTTCTTCCTGCACCCGGATTTGCATTACTTTGACTTGCCACGCCTGGGCGGGCTCTTTAGCCACGTGGCCAAGACCTTCCCCCTCTCCGCGCCGCAGGACTTTGCCAGCGTGACATGGACTGATGATGACGTGGATGATGATCATTGGGCGGCGGGAGAGGAGGGGGAGGAGGAGGCGGGTGGGGGAACGGGGGAGAGGAGAAGGGAGGAGCGGGGGACGGGGGGAGGAGGTACAGGGGAAGGAGGGGGAGCAGGCGGGGGGAGGAGAGCAGAGGGGGTGCAAGAGAGGGAAATGGGAGGAGGGAGGAGTGAGGGGGATGGAGAACGTGAGGGGGAGGAGAGGGTTGAGGAGAAGGCGGAGAGGGGGAAGGGGGAGGAGGATGAGAGGGAGGTGCTGCTGCTGGACATGGCCGTGCTGCTGTTCCACCTCAGGGGCGTGGGTGCCTTCAAACAGGTCCGTCCGTCCGTCAGTCAGTCAGTCAGTCAGTCAGTCAGTCAGTCAGTCAGTCAGTCAGTCAGTCAGTCAGTCAGTGTGAGTGCCTCACAGGCCATAATGCTCATGCTGTTGGCTGCTTGATAAAAGTAACATCTTGAGACCTGTTTTGGGTCGACTCAAAACAAGTCGACTCAAAATAAAAGTAACATGTTGAGACGTCTCAAAATGTTTTTTTTATCACGTGAGTCCCACACAGGCCATTATACTCATGCTGTTGGCTGCTCCTGCGGCCCGCTGCCACTGCACCCTCCTTCTCTCCCTTCCCCACCTCCTTTCCTTTCCTCTCGTCTGCAGGCTTTTGCCTTCTCGTCCTTCCCTTCCATCCTCCCTTCCCTCCGCTCCCTCCCCTCCCTTCTGCCTCCCGCTTCAACCCTCCCCAGGCGGCGCTGCAGCAGCAGGGCATGGTGCAGGCGGTGGCACAGCTGGAAGATGCGGACAGGCAGATCGCCGCTGCCATGGGGGGGCGCACGGAGGGAGCTGCGACAGACGGAGAGGCAGGCGCAGTGGCGGCGACAGGGTCAGGGTCGGTGGCGGGGGCGGGGGCGGGGACGGGGGCAGGGGCAGGGGCAGGGGCAGGGGCAGGGGGGGGGGGCGGGGGCGGGGGCGGCGGCAGGAGTAAGGAGAGTGGCAGGGGAAGAAGAGGGGGCTGTCGTGGGTGCTGCAGGCACTGGTGCAGCAGTAGGGGCGGAGGCACCCGCAGTGACAGCAACAGTGGGACTTGTTGGAGCACCGGGGGGAGGTACAGCTGCGGCTGCAGCCAGGGGAGGTACATCCGGGGGAGGTACATCCAGAGTGGGCGTGGGAGGGTCAGTGCGGGCGCAGCAGCTGAGGGAGGCGAGACAGGTGTTCCGAGAGGACGTGGATGAGAGTGTGAGGCTTGCAGTGTGGTGGAGAGCGGTGCTGGGCGGTGCTGCGTGGAAGCAGAGGGCGCTGGTGGGGGTGAGCAGGAGGGTGGGCTCGCTGCTGCTGGCTGCCAGCAAGAGGGGCCACATCTTTGCCTACGTGCCAGAGGTCTATCTGGAAGCAATGGTGCGTTGCTGTCTATGTTGAGGGCATATGGGTTACTGTCTTGTGTGATCATGGTATGGGGTAGAGAAGAGTGGAACTAGCTGCTGCCGGCTGCCAGCAAGCGGGGCCACATCTTTGCCTACGTGCCTGAGGTGTACTGGAAGCCAGGCGGGAGGTGTACTGGAAGCCAGGCGGGAGGTGTACTGGAAGCCAGGCGGGTTGCTGTCTGAAGCGCTGACGAAGGCCATCGGCCGAAACACGCGTACGCTCAGTCTTGGAATGACAGTTTCCTTGCTTCCTTAATCCCTACTGAGCCTAGCATAGATTAGTGGAGAATAGGACGAGCTAAGTCTGGTGATGTGGGTCGAATCTACCCTTATCTGCTGCCATGGTGTGGGGATGGCGCATCTTTTGACTCGTTTCTCTTCATCCCTCCATCTGCTTCCGCAACCCTCACCCCTTCTCTCCCACCTTTCCCACCGCCCCTCTTCCCGCACCCCTTTTCCCCCATGCCGCCGTGTCCTTCATGTCGCCGTGTCCTTCATGTCGCCGTGTCCTTCATGTCGCCGTGTCCTTCATGTCGCCGTGTCCTTCATGTCGCCGTGTCCTTCATGTCGCCGTGTCCCCCATGTCGCCGTGTCCTTCATGTCGCCGTGTCCTTCATGTCGCCGTGTCCTTCATGTCGCCGTGTCCTTCATGTCGCCGTGTCCTTCATGTCGCCGTGTCCTTCATGTCGCCGTGTCCTTCATGTCGCCGTGTCCTTCATGTCGCTTGCCCCTGCAGATCGAGGCCTTCCATGCCTTCAGGCGCTGCGACCCGCCACTCTTCCGACTCCGCCACTCCGTGCATCACCTCGCTCCCTTCGTAAGCCCGACAACATCCATCAGGCTTGACCCTCTTACCACCTGCACCTGCACCTGCACCTGCACCGGCATGGTTGCACCGGCATGGTTGCACCGGCATGGTTGCACCGGCATGGTTGCACCGGCATGGTTGCACCGGCATGGTTGCACCGGCATACCCTCTCACCCTGATCCCCCTCTTCGAATCTCCATCCCGTTACCCGACTTTCTCGCTCTTGCGCATACCCCTCCTTCTGTCTTCAAGACAGGAAAAAACCCCATTTTACACTCCCACTCTCTAATGCCCTGTCCGTGCATGTGTCTAATTCTCTCTCGCAGATATCTTTCCTGCTCACGCGGTTCAGCGATGCAAGGATTGCCAATCCAGACACCAGAGACCAGCTGCTGCAGACGCTCTCCGTGCTGCTACAGCTGCCGCCCTTCTCCGTCGCACTAGAGACAAACAAGGCCGCCCGCACGTGCTTCATGCCCAGCCTTCTCAACGCATTTGACCAGCGCTTCTGGATACCCGTCTCTCAGGTATTTCCTCAGGTGTCTCTGCCTCTCAGGAGGGTTCTGTCTCCCAGGTGACTCCCCATTGCCTTCTCGCATATGCTCCTCCTCTTTTTCACAGCTCAGCAATTTCTTTCAACCCATTTCACGCCTCCAGGAGATTCGCCTTCTGATCCTTTGATACACAACCAGCTTGCACCTCTCTCCCCCACCCACCACCCAGATTCTCCTGCGTCTCTGTGTGAGCAACCCCTTCGGAGGCCCCTCCAGCTTCCCCTCGCTCTCCCTCTCCTCCTCCTCCTCCTCCACGCCCTCCCTCTTCGCGCCTCTCTTCCAGCACTCCCTCCACCAGCTCTACCTGCACCAGCCGAGCCTCTTCTCTCCTTTCCTAAACCGCCTCTTCAACACTCTCAACGGGACTCTCACAGAATTCCTGGTGGCTTTGAAAGAGGTGCAGGTCTTGCAGCAGCAGGAGGAGGAGCAGCGGCGGCGGCGGAACCGGCGGCAGCAGCAGCAGCAGGCGTGGGAGCTGCAGCAGCGCAAGTGCAGTGTCATGTTTGACCTTACTTGTAACCTTGCTAGGCTGTTGGAAGTTCTCTGTGAGGCTTCTCCGGAGGTTTTTCTCTCTTTGAAGGGGGGAGGGGGCCGGGAAAAAGGGGAGAAGGCTCTAGAAGGGGGTGAAGCAGGAGGAGCAGCAGCAGCTGCGGGAGGAGGAGGAGAGGGAGGAGAAGGAGGAGGTGAAGGAGAGATGCAAGGAGTTTCAGGAGGAGAAGAGGGGAGCAGGGCCAGGGTGGAGCTAGTCACTCAGGGCGAGGGAGAGGGAGGAAGAGAGTCCATTGAAGCTGAAGGAGAAGCAATGACAGCACTTGCACCTGCCACCACTCCTGCTTCCTCCACATCCCCTGCGCCGTCTGCATCCTCTGCTCCCTCTGCATCTGAATGCTCTCTCGATGCTGAGATGAACCGCATGCGGCTGTTTGAGCTGCTGCTCTTCATCCTCAACCACACGTGCTCGGGTGCTGATGCACGCGCTCTTGACGGGTAAGAATGGTTGAAATCCAGGAACGGCTTGTGCTGTAAAAGGTATTATGAGATGAACCGCATGCGGCTCTTTGAGCTGCTGCTCTTCATTCTCAACCACACCTGCTCTGGTGCCGACGCCCGTGCTCTTGATGGGTAAGATTCCACGAAAACAGCTTAGATTGTGAGGTGAGGTGAGGTGAGGTGAGGTGAGGTGAGGAGGGGTGAGACAAGCACTAGACTGCCCCCTCCAGCCCCACAGTGCTCGCTCCACCCATGGTCTAGCGTTCCATGTCCCAATGCCCTGGGTGCCATGTCCCAATGCCCTGCACTCACCGCAGAGTCCTGCGGTGAGTGCAGACCGCTCCTCCCTCTCCATGGTGCTCGCTCCCCTCATGTGCATCATTTCCCTACCTTCCTCCCTCCCTTCCTCCCTCCCTTCCTCCCTCCCTTCCTCCCTCCCTTCCTCCCTCCCTTCCTCCCTCCCTTCCTCCCTCCCTTCCTCCCTCTCTTCCTCCCTCCCTCCCTCCCTTCCTCCCTCCCTTCCTCTCTCCCTCGCTCCCTCCCTTCCTCCCTCCCTCCCTCCCTCCCTTCCTCCCTCCCTTCCTCCCTCCCTTCCTCCCTCCCTTCCTCCCTCCCTTCCTCCCTCCCTTCCTCCCTCCCTCCCTCCCTCCCTTCCTCCCTCCCTTCCTCTCTCCCTCGCTCCCTCCCTTCCTCCCTTCCTCCCTCCCTCCCTCCCTCCCCCTCCCTCCCCACCCTCTCCCTTTCCTTCCCCACAGCGTCCTGCAGGGTCAGGTCACGTGTCTCCATCAGACCGCTCATCCCGCCCCATGGTGCTCGCACCTTTGGTGGGCATCATGGGCGGCGTCTTTTTCTACTGTCCCATTGTCCCATTGTCTCTCCCTTTTTCACTCCTAAACTGCAGTGTCCTGCAGGACCACGTGTTACCATCCGACCAATCATCCCGCCCCATGGTGCTCGCGCCCCTCGTGGGCATCATGGGCGGCCTCTTCTCGCATGCTCAGCGGGCCAATGGGAGCGCGCCAGCTGGCATGGTGCGGTCGGTGCTGCAGGCGGATCCCTCTCTTGATTGCCTGGGCGGGCTTGAGTACCTGCTGGGGTTCGACTGGGTGAGTGGGGTGGGGGAGTGGGGGCCGTGTGTGAAAGTTTGTGAGAGAGCGAGGGGAACTTAGATGGCATGCTGCAGTTCTCACCCCTCACACCCCTCTCGCCCTCTTACCCCTCAATCCCCGTGCCCACCACAGGAGAGTGAGTTCAGCAGCCCCCCTACAGCGTGCCTGGCGGATCTGTGCCTCTTTGTGGAGCAACTCCGGCAAGAGCAGGCTGCTCGCAAGGCTGCTGCAGAGGCTGCTGCTGCTGCCGCCGCTGCAGGTGAGCATGCAGGCACGCGCTTGCACTGGATGTGCATGGGAGTTAACTGGCAGCTTGAGAACCCTAAACCCATACACTCCAAACCTTGTCTCTCTGTCTCTATGCCAGCTTGCCCCTGTCTGTCCCCATCCGGCCAGTCTTGCATCCAGTTCCCTCTTCCTCCTCGCTCTGTTGCTCGTCCCAGGTCGCAGCAAGAAGGGCAAAGAGCAGATGCAGGAGCAAGGTCCCACTGCAGAGGGGATGGATGGGGCTGCTGCTGCTGCTGGTGCTGGTGCTGGTGCAGGCATGGAGGAAGGCGAGGACGAGGAGGAGGAAGGGGAGATGTGCAGCATATGCTACGCTGCTCCCAGTGACACCCAGTTCATCCCCTGTGGTCACTCCTCCTGTGAACGCTGTGTGGCAAGGCACCGTCTAAACAGTCCCCGCTGCTTCTTCTGCAACGCTGTGATCGAGCAACTAGCGGCGAAGCGCTGAGGATGTGTAACAGATGTGGTGTTAGATTCACTGTAGCAAGAGACAATACAGGTGTCGCTGCTGCGTTTGCTGCACCTGCCATGCTGCTATGAGAAACACTCAGTTTGCAGTGCTCACACCTTATTGAAATGCGCTGGAGCACACCTTATGTGTTGCAGCACATCTCATTGTACGTCTTCTCGTCCTAGTGATATTGTGACTTCTTTGGCTGCGAGTTTGGTGCAACCTGTACATAATGTTTTATCAGAATCCCAACCACTAGATTATTGGGATAAAATGGCTTGTTTGTATAGCGGGACCGTGCGCCCATAACCCCCAGTCGAACGCGCCTGTAACCCCCCTAGGATTAATCGGGGATCTCACAGTCAACTCTACTGACAACCCTCTACACTGGGAGGCACAGGATTGAGCACAGCAGCAACAACCTACATGTGCATACACCGGAATTCGAACTCGAGATCGCTCTGATACCATGTCAGAATCCCAACCACTAGACCACTGGGATAAACGGGCTTGTTTGTGTAGCGGGTCCGTGCGCCCATAACCCCCCGGGCAAATGCGCCTGTAACCCCCCTAGGATCAATCAGGGATCTCACAGTGCAGCTTTATTGACATGCTTTTTATTGCGGACAAGCTGATACGCTGCAGAAGTCATGCAAAGGCACGCATTCCCAGCAAATACCAGCACAGCAGCACATGGAGGTTCAGACAGGTGGGCTTCCCCCACATAGTGCAATTATCTTCATATCTTGCTGAGTGGTGCTTATGGTACTCGTGCCAAGCCGGTAGATGGGTGATAGTGTACTGCAGTGTAAGGGGAGAATGCGTGGGAGGGGATGTGGAATGGCGAGGCATGAAAAAGATGATGATGATGATGATGGCTATGACGATGATGATGATGATGATGATGATGATGATGATGATGATGATGATGATGATGATGATGATGATGATGATGATGATGATGATGATGATGATGATGATGATGATGATGATGATGATGATGATGATGATGATGATGATGATGATGATGATAAGGAGGACGACGACGACGACGATGATGATTATTGTGGTAGTGCAACTGCCTCTGGGCAGGTGATGTAGGTGCAGCTGCCGAATGTGCAAGAGGCAAGCATTTACGGTACTCACCGGCATGTGAACGTGGAAAAGCAGGCACGCATGGGATGGAAGGAACATGCACATGCATAGGAGGCAAGGAGATGGACGAAGGCGCAAAAGCAAGGAAGTGGCAAGCAGTAAAATTATTGAAGCGTGGGGTGGGTAGCGAAATCGGAAAGTATGCGCCTTATCGTATGAAAGACAGGACATGACAAGTCCTCACTTAGACAAGTCGTCACAAGCACCAAGTGCTCACTTGGACCAAGTCGTCATGCTCGCAACCTTCCCATGCCCTTGCTCGCTTGGTAATAGGACCAGACAAGTGCAGCCAAGTGACCCAGCGGAAGAAAAACGCTCGGAACGAGCGCGTCCATCCAAAAAACGCGAAAGGATCCGCACATGTGCAGGAAGTGCAACGTGCGCTCATCATTCGCGAGCGCCGATGACCGACGCTCGCAACCCTCCCACGCCCTTGGTGGTTTGGTATTAAGCCCAGACAAGCGGAGCCACGTTACCCGGCGAAAGAAAAACGCTTGGAACGAGCGCTTCCACCCCCAAAATGCGGAAGGATCCGCACATGTGCAGGAAGTGCAGCAGGCGCTCTTCATTCGCGAGCGCCGATGACCGATGATGCTCGCAACCCTCCCACGCCCTTGCTAGCTTGGTAATAGGCCCAGACAAGCGCAGCCACGTGACCCGGCGGAAGAAAAACGCTCGGAACGAGCGCTTCCAGCCCCAAAACACGGATAAATCCGCACATATGCAGGAAGTGCAGCGTGCGCTCTTCATTCGCGAACGCCGATGACCAATGATGCTCGCAACCCTCCCACGCCCTTGCTGGCTTGGTAATAGGCCCAGACAGGCGCAACCACTTGACCTGGAGGAAATAATACGCTCGGAACGAGCGCTTCCAGCCCCAAAACGTGGAAAAATCTGCACATGTGCAGGAAGTACAGCGGGCGTTATTCATTCACGAGCGCCGATGACCGATGATGCTCGCAACCCTCCCATGCCCTTGCTGGCTTGGTAATAGGCCCAGACAAAGGCAGCCACGTGACCCGGCGGAAGAGAGGTGCTCGGAACGAGCGCTTCCACCCCCAAAACGGGGAAGGATCTGCACATGTGCAGGAAGTGCAGCGGGCGCCCTTCATTTGCAAGCGGCGATGACCGATGGTGCTCGCAACCCTCCCACACCCTTGTTGGCTTGGTAATAGGACTAGAAAAGCGCAGCCATGTGACTCGGCAAAAGAAAAACGCTCGGAACGAGCTCGTCTATCCCCAAAACGCGAAAGGATCCGCACATGTGCAGGAAGTGCAGCGGGCGCTTTTCATTCGCGAGTACCAATTACCGATGCTCGCAAACCTCCCACGCCCTTTGTGGCTTGGTAATAGGCCCAGACAGGCGCAGCCACATTACCCGGCGGAAGAAAAACGCTCGGAACGAGCGCTTCCAGCCCCAACACGCGGAAGGATCCGCACATGTGCCGGAAGTGCAGCGGTCGCTCTTCATTCGCGAGCGCCGATGACCGATGATGCTCGCAACCCTCCCACGCCCTTGTTGGCTTGGTAATAGGCCGAGACGAGCGCAGCCACGTGACATAGCGGAAGAAAAACGCTCGGAACGAGCGCTTCCAGCCCCAAAACGTGGAAGGATCCGCACATGTGCAGGAAGTGTAGCGGGTGCTCTTCATTCGCGAGCGCCGATGATCGATGATGCTCGCAACCCTCCCATGCCTTTGCTGGCTTGATAATAGGCTCAGACAAGCGCAGCCACGTGACCTGGCGGAAGAAAAACGCTCGGAACGAGCGCTTCCAACCCAAAAACGCGGAAGGATTTGCACATGTGCAGGAAGTGCAGCGGGTGCTCTTCATTCGCGAGCGCCGATGACCGATGATGCTTGCAACCCTCCCACGCCCTTGCTGGCTTGGTAATAGGCCCAAACAGGCACAGCCACTTGACTCGGCGGAAAAAATACGCTCGGAACGAGCGCTTCCACCCCCAAAACGGGGAAGGATCCGCACATGTGTAGGAAGTGCAGCGGGCGCTCTTCATTTGCGAGCGCCGATGATTGATGATGCTTACAACACTTCCACCCCCTTGCTGGCTTGGTAATAAGACCAGACAAGCGCACCCACGTGACCCAGCGGAAGAAAAATACTCGGAATGAGCGTGTCCATCCCCAAAATACGAAAGGATCCGCACATCTGCAGGAAGTGCAGCGGACGCTCTTCATTCGCGAGCGCCGATGACCGATGCTCGAAACCCTCCCACGCCCTTGGTGGCTTGGTAATAGGCCCAGGCAAGCGCAGCCACGTTACCCGGTGGAAGAAAAACGCTTGGAATGAGCGCTTCCACCTCCAAAACGTGGAAGGATACGCACATGTGCAGGAAGTGCAGCGGGCGCTCCTCATTCGTGAGCTCCGATGACCGATGATGCTCGCAACCCTCCAACGCCCTTGCTGGCTTGGTAATAAGCCCAGAGAAGCTCAACCATATGACCCAGCGAAAGAAAAACGCTCGAAAGGAGCGCTTCCAGCCCAAAAACGCGGAAGGAACCGCACATGTGCGGGAATTGCAGCGGGCGCTCTTCATTCACGAGCGCTGATGACCGATGATGCTCGCAACCCTTCCACGCCCTTACTGGCTTAGTAATAGGGCCAGAGAAGCGCAGCCGCGTGACCCGGTGGAAGAAAAACGCGCGGAACGAGCACTTCCAGCCCCAAAACGCGGAAAAATCCGCACATGTGCAGGAAGTGCAGCGTGCGCTCTTCATTTCCGAGCGCCGATGACCGATGATGCTCGCAACCCTCCCACGCCCTTGCTGGCTTGGAAATAGGCCAAGGCAAGCACAGCCACGTGACCCGGCGGAAGAAAAATGCTCTGAACGAGCGCTTCCAGCCCAAAAACGCGGAAACATCCGCACATCTGCAGGAAGTGCAGCGGACGCTCTTCATTCGCGAGCGCCGATGACCGATGCTCGAAACCCTCCCACGCCCTTGGTGGCTTGGTAATAGGCCCAGGCGAGCGCAGCCACGTTACCCGGTGGAAGAAAAACGCTTGGAATGAGCGCTTCCACCTCCAAAACGCGGAAGGATACGCACATGTGCAGGAAGTGCAACGGGCGCTCCTTATTCGTTAGCTCCGATGACCGATGATGCTCGCAACCCTCCAACGCCCTTGCTGGCTTGGTAATAGGCCCAGAGAAGCTCAACCATATGACCCAGCGAAAGAAAAACACTCGAAAGGAGCGCTTCCAGCCCAAAAACGCGGAAGGAACCGCACATGTGCGGGAATTGCAGCGGGCGCTCTTCATTCACGAGCGCTGATGACCGATGATGCTCGCAACCCTTCCACGCCCTTACTGGCTTAGTAATAGGGCCAGAGAAGCGCAGCCGCGTGACCCGGTGGAAGAAAAACGCGCGGAACGAGCGCTTCCAGCCCCAAAACGCGGAAAAATCCGCACATGTGCAGGAAGTGCAGCGTGCGCTCTTCATTTCCGAGCGCCGATGACCGATGATGCTCGCAACCCTCCCACGCCCTTGCTGGCTTGGTAATAGGCCCAGACAAGCGCAGCCACGTGACCCGGCAGAAGAAAAACGCTCGGAACAAGTGCTTCCAGCCCCAGAACGCGGGAATAATCCGCACATATGCAGGAAGTGCAGCGGGCGCTCTTCATTCGCGATCGCCGATGACCGATCATGCTCGCAACCCTCCCACGCCCTTTGCTGGCTTGGTAATAGGCTCAAACAAGCGCAGCCACATGACCCGGCGGAAGAAAAACGCTCGGAACGAGTGCTTCCAGCCCCAGAACGCGGGAATAATCCGCACATATGCAGGAAGTGCAGCGGGTGCTCTTCATTCGCGAGCGCCGATGACCGAT